AGCACGGTTCGAGGTCTCAGGACGCCCGCACAAGGCCAGACTCCGCCACTACGAACCCGAAATGCTGGAGGAGTTGAAGAAGCAGGTCGCGAAGCAACTGGAGCTGGGAGTCATCCGACCCTCCAAGAGCGAGAGGGCTGCCGCTCCTCGCTTTGCAAAGAAGAAGACCTGAGAATGGAGATGCGTCATCGACTACTGCAGGCTCAACGCTCAACGATGCGTCGGCGGGTAGTTCAAGCGAGCGAATGGTTCAAGGATGAAGTGAAGTACCTCGGGCGCGTCGTCGGCCGGACGGGCATAAAGGTCCAGGAGAAGAAGTCTCGAGCAATCGTCAACGCACCGGCCCCCACCAGCAAGGAGCTACAAAGCTTCTTGGGGATGTGCGGCTATATGAGGCCCTTCATCCCTCAAGTTCTCACACATCACGGCGCCGCTGTTCGACCTGCAAAAGAAGGACAGGACTTAAGAGTGGCGGGGCGTGCACGAGAACGCCTACCATCGGCTCCAACACGCCGTCCGGAACAACGTCACGCTGCATGCCCGTGCTGAAGATGGCGAATACATCATGGAGACCTACCTGTTAAGTTCGCTCGCAAGAAGTCCAACCCCACGGAGTCGCGTTGGGACACGAGAGAACGAGAATTGTTCGTGGTGAAGTGGGCCATAGAGAAGTGGCGAGACTACGTCGTAAGGATTGTCCGTACAGGGGCGTATACTGTAGAAGTGAAAGGTCATCTAGCGGCTGTGTGCTGGGCAACACCGATTGAGGATGGGTGTGGCGCGGACTACTTTGGACCGAATCCAGAAGGCTGAGGCGAAGAGAACAGCGAGAGGTTTTCGTACGAGGTACGATGCACCTGAGTGAAGAGGATCGCGAGTTATTGTGGGGGCTGGTATCGAAGTACGAGTAGGCATGGCCACGGGTTGGCCACCTTGGTTACAAGGTGAAGTTGGAGGTCACGGGCAAACCGTTCAAAGCGAGACCTCGACATTACGAACCGAGCCGGAGGGAAGAGTTTGCCGACAGATCGAGGCACAGCTGGCGCTGGGTGTCATACGTCCTAGCAAGAGTAAGTGGGCTGTGGTCGACTATCGGGTCATCGGGTAGGTGGAGACGGGATCAAGGTATGTCCGTAAAGAGTGTACTGCGCCGCCGACGAATAAGGCTGAACTCCAGAGCTTTCTCGGTTTGGTGGGCTGCTTGCGTGGTTTCATACCGAGGTGTGCGGAACATACGGCGAGGATGTGTGAGCTCCTGAAGAAGAACGTCGAGTACGAATGAACAGATCGACTGCAGCTAGACTTCGACGCCGAACACCATAACCTTACATGCGCCACGGCCAGGAAATCCGTACGGCCAGGAAATCCGTGCGTAGTATACATGGCCGCTGCGGCGTGGGTATTGCTCATGCAGGAGCAAGACGGCCAAGAAGTATGCCTGAAGTATGCGAGGCGCAAGCTGTCAGAAATGGAACGAAGATGGGACACCCGCAGGAGGGAGCTTTAAGCACGCGCTAGAGAAATGGCGAGTCTTGCTTGATATGCGAGCGACTGAACCAACCGCGTTCCCCCACGGATAGACAGGGCACTTGGACGCTGCGGCGGCCCTGACATTCGTGAGTCTCGATCACATAGGTCCGATAACGTACGAGAGTGTTCGCTAGATTATACTCATTATCATCGTGGCAAGCTCAGCTGTTGTGTCGGCAACTACCAGCTGAGCCTACTTACAAGGTGTTCAAAGCGTGCTGGCTGGACTACTTCGGAGTGTCAAAAGCGACAGTTACGGATAACGGAGGCGCGTTCCGCAGCTTCCTCGAGTAGGCGTGCTGGGTGTGAGTCACCTGTACTTTAGCGCCTACGGACCACAGGGCAACGGAGTCAACGAAGCGTCGCGTCCGTTCCCTAAGCAGGGCACTGCGGCAAGAAGGCAACGGCGATTTCCCGACGATCCTAGCGGAAGTGGTGAATGCACAATATGGCATCTGACGACATGGCATCTGACGACATGCCACTGATCTACGGTTAGTTGAAGTCGGCAAGTGTGTGCAAGTGTGTGCAAGTCCACCGTCGATGAGAGGTTGTGTTGTCTGTTCAGTTCATCACTCGCGGATCAGGTAGTTCCTTTGTGTCGCTTATTGACCAGGCCATGCTGTTAGGTCCCAGTGCCAGTCTGTCGGGTGTAATAAGAGTCTGTCGGGTGTAATAAGGTGAGATAGTTGTGGCACCCAATTTGTACATAAGAGCAGTACTTTTTCGTACTTTTTTTCCGTCTCTTCCAGGTCCGAGCTGAAACAGA